TCAGGCCGCCCGTGAGTGGTATGCGCGGCGCAGCGTCACCTGCCAGTACGTTATTCGTACAGGTGACCGCACTGGCCAGACGTGTGGGGGGCCGCACCAGACGGAGCGCTGCTTCGCCCGCCTCAACGATGCGTGGCGCACTCAGTTTCCTGGTGGGGGTGAGCTGCCGCGCTGGGCTGATCTGCTCAGGAAGGGTGTTGATATTTGGGCACTTGACTTTGATGCTATTCTCACTGCCATGTATGCGATGTCTATTAGTGGAGAGGGTGCTCAGTACTTGCGTGTTCCGCCCGACCCGGGCATTCAGGCCAGCCCCGCTGCTGCTCTAGGTGCTAGTGTGTCTGCTTCCACTGGTACTACTGCAGCTGCTGCTCTAGGTGCTTGTGCGTCTGTGCCCCCTGGTACTGAGTCGACTGCAGCACTGCACACCTTCACACTGGACTCAGGTGCTTCTCGCTCTTTCTTTCGTGACCGCACTGTCCTTGAGCCTCTAGCTCGGCCGGTTGCTGTCTCTCTTGCTGACCCCTCTGGGGGTCCGGTCCTTGCGACCTCCTCCACCACCCTTCCGTGTCCAGCGGTTCCGTCCGGCACGCTCTCAGGTCTCTACCTCCCCTCGTTCTCCACGAACTTGGTGGCAGGTAGTGCGCTCCAGGACTCGGGTGTTCACCAGTTCACCCCTGCCTACGAGCGTGTGACTCACTGCACGTGTGCTCGGACGGGCCGCCACCTGGCTACTTTCACTCGAGAGCCGGGGTCTGACCTGTACACACTGACCACTGAGTCCCCTCAGGTAGCTGCGTCTGCGTCAGCGTCAGGTCAGCTGTCCGCCCCCTGCTCGTGTCGCTCTCTGGCGAACGACACCGTCCTCTGGCACCACCGCCTTGGTCACCCGTCTGTGCAGCGCCTGCGGGCCATGCACAAACGGGACCTTGTTGCTGGTCTTCCCAGGGTGCTCCCTCCCCTTCCTGACTCCCCTGCTCCTGACTGCATTCCCTGTGTCGAGGGGCGGCAGCGCGCCGCTCCTCACTCCTCCTCCTTTCCCCCGACGACCGCTCCCCTGCAGACGCTCCACATGGACGTGTGGGGCCCAGCCCGCGTCCGTGGTCAGGGTCAGGAGAGGTACTTCCTGATAGTTGTTGACGACTACTCGCGCTACACCACGGTCTTCCCCTTGCGCGCCAAGGGTGACGTCCCTGGTGTTTTGATCCCCTGGATCAGCCGAGCCCGTCTCCAGCTAGGCGAGCGCTTTCACTCGGACTTTCCTGTCCTGCGCTTGCACTCTGACAGGGGTGGTGAGTTCGCCTCCGACCTCTTGGCAGCCTACTGTGCTGAGCACGGCATTGAGCAGTCGTACACGCTTCCGGCCTCTCCACAGCAGAATGGGGTTGCTGAGCGCCGCATTGGCTTAGTCATGGAGGTCGCTCGTACCTCCCTGACCCATGCGGCTGCTCCCCACTTTCTGTGGCCGTTTGCGGTCCGGTATGCCGCGCATCAGCTCAACCTCTGGCCCCGTGTCTCCTTGCCGGAGACTTCCCCGACTCTTCGGTGGACGGGAGAGGTTGGCGATGCGTCGCGTTTCCGGGTCTGGGGATCTCGAGCTTTTGTCCGCGACACGTCCGCGGACAAGCTCTCGCGTCGCGCTGTTCCCTGTGTCTTTCTTGGCTTTGTTCCCGACGCGCCTGGATGGCAGTTTTACCACGTCACCTCGCGCCGGGTTCTGGCCTCTCAGGACGTCACTTTTGACGAGTCCGTCCCCTTCTACCGCCTCTTCCCCTACCGCACTGCCCCGCTCCCCCCCCCCCTCTCTTCCTCGCTCCAGGTGCTGAGGTACCAGACCCCCTCCCCCCTCAGGGTGCCGCTCCCTCAGGTGTGTCCCAGGTAGACCCGGGTGAGCCTGTCGAGGTAGCTGTTGACTCGCGTCCTGCGTCTGGGGGTGCTGAGCCTGGGAGTGCTGCGTCTGAGGGTGCGGAGCCTGGGGGTGCTGAGCCTGGAGGTGCGGAGCCTGGGGGTGCTGAGCCTGGAGGTGCGGAGCCTGGGGGTGCTGAGCCTGGAGGTGCGGAGCCTGGAGGTGCGGAGCCTGGAGGTACTGAGCCTGGAGGTGCGGAGCCTGGGGGTGCTGAGCCTGGAGGTGCGGAGCCTGGAGGTGCTGAGTCTGGGGGTGCTGAGTCTGGGGGTACTGAGCCTGAGCGTGCTCCACCTGGAGGAGCCCTCTCCTCCCAGCAGCTGCAGGAGAGGTACCTCGAGTACTGCCGCCTCCGGAGAGGTGCTTCTGGAGCTCGTCCCGGTACTTCCCCTCCTACCCAGGAGCTCCCCCCCATTCAGGTGATCCGCGAGTGGTACACGCGGCGCTGCAGTCTTCGTAGTGGTGCTCCTGGTACTGCGGACCCGAGCGGTGGTGCTGTTGCTGGTGCTGAGGACCCGGACGCTGGAGCTGCTGCTGGTGCTGAGGACCCGGGGGCTGGAGCTGCTGCTGGTGCTGAGGACCCGGGCGTTGGAGCTGCTGCTGGTGCTGAGGACCCGACCGGTGGCGCTGCTGCTGGTGCTGAGGACCTGACCAGTGGCCCTGCTGCTGGTGCTGAGGACCCGGGCGTTGGAGCTGCTGCTGGTGCTGAGGACCCGACCGGTGGTGCTGCTGCTGGTGCTGAGGACTCGGGCGTTGGAGCTGCTGCTGGTGCTGAGGACTCGGGCGTTGGGGCTGCCACTGGTGTCCCTGCTGCTTCTGGAGACGCTGCGCGGCCGCGACCGTACTTCGTACCGCTCCTTCAGCAGGTTCTTGGTCAGGCTCCTCCTCCTTGTCCTCCTCCCTCCGTCGAGTGTCCTCTGCCTGTCCAGCCGCAGTCACAGTTACCGCCTGTCTCGCCTCTCCCTGCTCCCTCCCCTTACGCTGGTCCCACAGGAGGTCTTACAGAGCGTCGTGAGCCTGAGTCTCGTCCTGCGTCGCCTGTTCGTACTGCTCGCACTGGTCGTCGTGTCCCACGTGAGCGTCCTCCTCCTGTCCCTGGCACTCACTACATGACTCTGCGTCCCTCCACTGCTCCGCAGCGTGTCCCGCTGCCGTCTCCTCCTGCGTCCTCTCTTCCTACTCTTCCTGACCCGGAGTCTGACTCCCGTCGTGCTGCCAGTCCCACTGTTACGCGTCTCCTCGCTACAGTTGTCACTGACCCGACCTTTGAGTCCTCTGCTGCGTCTGCTCTGGTCGCTGAGTTGGTTGACTTTGCTGCTCGCTGTCGCCTAGACTACGCTGCCAGCCTTGTCGCTAGGTCTGAGTCTGCGTCTGCCTGTCCTCCGTCCGTCGGGGGTGAGTGTGCCCTCGGCACGGACGTCCTTGAGGACAGACAGGAGGAGTTCCACTGCCTTGCTGCTGCTTTGCCCCGTCTCGTGTCCTTGCTAGTTGCCCCTGAGGGAGACCCGGATGCACCAGACATCCCGACCCCACGCTCTTACGCTGAGGCGATGGCGGGTCCCTACTCCTCTCAGTGGCGGACAGCCATGGACGCAGAGATGGCCTCCTGGAAGTCCACAGGCACCTACGTAGACGAGGTTCCCCCTCCTGGGGCGAACATCGTCAGTGGCATGTGGATTTTCAGGGTGAAGCGGCCGCCGGGTTCTCCACCTGTCTTCAAGGCGCGCTACGTGGCTCGAGGCTTCAGTCAGCGAGAGGGAGTAGACTTCTTTCAGACCTTCTCCCCCACCCCGAAGATGACTACTCTTCGGGTGCTGCTGCACATAGCCGCTCACCGCGACTACGAGCTTCACTCTCTTGACTTCAGCACTGCTTTCTTGCAGGGCAGCCTGCACGAGGAGATCTGGCTGCGCCGCCCCCCTGGCTTCACTGGGTCATTTCCTCCTGGCACCCAGTGGAGGCTTCAGCGGCCGGTCTACGGTCTCCGCCAGGCGCCACGTGAGTGGCACGACACACTGAGGACGACACTTGCGGCTCTTGGGTTCGCTCCCTCTACTGCTGACCCGTCGCTGTTTCTACGCACCGACACCTCGCTGCCGCCGTTCTACATCCTCGTGTACGTCGACGACTTGGTCTTTGCCACTGCTGACACCGCGGCACTCGCTCACGTGAAGTCGGAGCTGCAGAGGAGACACACGTGCACAGACCTGGGTGAGCTGACGAGCTATCTTGGCTTACGGATCACCCGGGACAGAGCACGGCGCACCATCACCCTGACTCAGTCACACATGGTGCAGCAGGTTCTCCAGCGCTTCCGCTTCACGTACTCCTCGCCTCAGTCCACTCTTCTGCCTACCGGTCACTCGCTCTCAGCTCTGCCTTCGGATGAGTCCGTAGAGCCGAGTGGCCCGTATCCAGAGCTTGTGGGCTGCCTCATGTACCTGATGACCTGCACTCGACCTGACCTTGCATACCCTCTTAGCATCCTAGCACGCTATGTCGCTCCTGGCCGTCACCGGAAGGAGCACATGGATGCTGCTAAGAGGGTGTTGCGCTACTTGTGCAGTACGTCGGGCATGGGGCTTGTGCTTGGAGGGCGAGACCGGGTTGTTCTCACAGGGCACTCAGACGCTTCTTGGGCAGACGACCAGGCTACTCAGCGGTCGTCCCAGGGTTACACCTTCAGCCTTGGCTCTGGCTCAGTTTCTTGGCGTTCTACTCGCTCTTCTTCTGTTCTCAGCTCCAGTTGTGAGGCTGAGATCTACGCCACAGCCATGGCTGCTCAGGAGCTACGCTGGCTGACCTACCTGCTGACCGACCTCGGAGAGCGGCCTCGTTCTCCTCCAGTGCTGTACGTCGACAACAAGGCTGCCATTGCCTTGTGTGAGGAGCACAGACTGGAGCACAGAACGAAGCACATCGCTCTGCGGTACTTCCTGGCTCGAGAGCTGCAGCAGCGGGGTCATTCATTCCTGCTCAGTTATTTCTGACATAAGCTCCCTCATACGCTCTGTCACGCGCTCTCACACGCGCTCTCTCACGCGCTTTCACACGTGCTCTCTCACGCGCTCACACGCGCTCTCTCACACGCTCTCTCATGCGCTGTCTCACGCGCTCTATCAAGGCGCACTCTCAGGCGCACTCTCAGGCGCACTATCACGCGCTCTCTCCCGCACTCTCACGCGCTCTCTCCCGCACTCTCACGCGCATTCTCCCTCTCACATGCTTTCTCTCGCGCACTCTCACGTACATTCTCTCTCTCACACGCTCTCTCACGTGCACCCTCACACGCGCTCTCTCACGCACTCTCACACGCACTCTCACGCACTCTCACACGCGCTCTCTCACGCGCTCTCACACACGCTCTCTCACGCGCTCACACGCGCTCTCTCACACGCTCTCTCATGCGCTGTCTCACGCGCTCTATCAAGGCGCACTCTCAGGCGCACTCTCAGGCGCACTCTCACGCGCTCTCTCCCGCACTCTTACGCGCATTCTCCCTCTCGCATGCTTTCTCTCGCGCACTCTCACACACATTCTCTCTCTCACACGCTCTCTCACGCGCACCCTCACACGCGCTCTCTCACGCACTCTCACACGCACTCTCACACGCACTCTCACGCACTCTCACACGCGCTCTCTCACGCGCTCTCTCACGCGCTCTCTCACGCGCTCTCTCACGCGCTCTCTCACGCGCCCTCTCATGCGCTCCCTCACGCGCTCTCTCTCGCGCTCTCTCAAGGCGCACTCTCAGGCACCCTCTCACGCACTGTCACTTGCGCTCTCTCTCGCGCACTCTCACCACATTCTCTCTCTCACGCGCTCTCTCACGTGCTCACATGCATTCTCTCTCTCACGCTCTCACGCGCACTCACACGCGCTCTCTCACGCACTCTCTCATGCGCTCTCACTCGCGCTGTCTCATGTGCTCTCTCACGCGATCTCATGCGCTCTCTCACGCGCTCTCTCACGCGCTCTCTCACGCGATCCTTCACGCGCTCTCTCAAACGCTCTCTCATGCGCATACGCTCTCCCTCGCGCTACATCTCTTTTGAAAGTGCCATGCAAGAGGAGAGCTATCGGCACACAGAAAAGGGAAGAAGTAGACGAAGAAGAAGAAAAGAAAGAAAAAGAAAAAGAAAAAGAAAAAGGAAAAAGGAAAAGAAGAACAACAGGCGACTAAATCGTCTTAGGGTTGCGAAGCAACAGGTTGTAACATGTTTTTTTTTTATTTTTTAATGAATTACACTTCCATTTATAGAAACACATGACATATAATATATGATTATATAACTGAATCGCTGTGGTCGTTTAGAGTACAGATTTGGTTGTTTCACAATGTATAAAATATGTGCTTCTTGAGAACTTATTTGTGTTTGGTTTTTCTTGTTATGTTCATATTATTTGATTTTAAAATCAAAATGTTTTTATACTTTAACGTCAGAAGGCGTTTATACTTTGACGTCAGAAGGCGTTTGGATTGTTTGCGTGACGATATCGACAAACAAGTGTATTTTACGTCTGCAATTTCGCGCAAAAGTCTCCTTCCGTGGTAGTTGACATCAGAAATCGAACCTGAAACCTTTCGAATAGTTTTTCAACTAATACCGTCTGCGCTAAAGCCTCTGATATTCTGTAGCGTCGTGAAAAAAAACTGTAAGAACTGTGCGTGTTATTGTCAGGTTTCGAAATGTGTCGTCTGCAGGAACTGAACTGGAGACTTTTCGATAGCACATCGAAGTTCAACTAATTGCGCCAACACTGTTATGTTAAGCAACTCGAAGTTTTTTCTAGGTCGATTAGCTTTGCGACGAATCTGACACCTTTTTAGGGTTTGTTATTCCCTTTTCTTCTCCCTCGCTGGCTGAGCTTCGCTCATGTTTGACTCTACCTACCAGAACGAGTTCCTATCCTACTAAGGTGAGAGCTACCTTAACCCATCAAGTAGATTAAGTTAGACGATTAAGAGCTAGACGAATGTTGGCCTAAGACATGTTAGTATTGCTCGTGTTGGTAGCTTCTAAAGGATGAAAGTCGTTTAAGGCTTAGGTTGTAAACTTGCTGCAAAAAATTTAGCTGCAGGTTTTCCATAAGCCTGCATCCGTTTTCCGGTTCTTCATTGACTAACATCTCCTAATCTCGTGTCTTAACTGTTTCTAAAGGATGCGGCTTGTTTAAGCTAAGGGTAGAGGCCCATTGTAAAGACTTCGCCTTTTTTCCTCACATTTTTTAGGTCATATCTTCGTCTCTTACTGCATATCTAGCATCTATTTCTTTTGTTTTTCATCGTTTCTGCCTTTCGTCTCTACGTCGTATGCATATTTTCACTTTTTGTTGTTCCTAGATCTAGAACCGTCATATCCTCCTATTTGCCGCGAAGTCGCTTTAGGCCTAAGATTTCTGTCGGTTTATTCATTATCTTTCATAATCTCATTGCTTTTCATTCTCGTATGGCGTCTCTCTCCTTGTCCAACTTTCTCGCTCGTCCCCCTCCGCCTCGTCCGCCCACCTCTTTCCTTTGTCCGCCTCACTTTGTATCTCCTTACTACTTTCTTCTCTTGTTCGTTCACTCTCTCTCTCTCTTGTTCCTTCTCTCTCGTCTCTCTTTCTCTCTCTCTCTCTCTCTCTCTCTCTCTCTCTCTCTCTCGTTCTCTCTCTCTCTCTCTCTCTCTCTCTCGTTCTCTCTCTCTTCTCTCTCTCTCTCTCTCTCTCTCTCTCTCTCTCTCTCTCTCTCTCTCTCTCTCTCTCTCTCTCTCTCTCGTTCTCTCTCTCTCGTCTCTCTCTCTCTCTCTCTCTCTCTCTCTCTCTCTCTCTCTCTCTCTCTCTCTCTCTCTCTCTCCCTCTCTCTCTCTCTCTCTCTCTCTCTCGCTCTCTCTCTCTCTCTCTCTCTCTCCCTCTCTCTCTGTGAAATTCACACCTAAGGGATATCGTTGTTTCCTGTTTTGTTACTTGCTCTGTTTTTTGGGTTCTGTTTTTTTATGTATATCTATGTTCACCACCATTAGCTTGCATCCTGTTTGGTTATTATGCTTTTCTCCTCACTGCCTTGCTTTCTTTTTCCATTTTCTTCGCGATTTGATAATTCTTTTCTCCTCCCCCCCCGGTTCCATCTTTCCCTCTGCTTCATTCGTTGCTATTTGTTTTTCCAGATTTTTCTTTGACTTTCTTTCCAGATGTGTACAGCTGCGAAGCGAAGAGTTCATGTGAAGAGGATAGTAGTGGTGACTTGTAAAATTGTATTGTATTGATGTTCACATGTTTTATTGTTTTGCAGTTTGTGCATTAGGTTTTTTTTTTTTTTTTTTTTTTTTTTTTTTGTGAATGTGTGTGATGTTGTATATGCGTTTGTATGTATGTATGTGTGTGCGTGTGTGTGTGCTATTTGTACGTGCACTCATCCACATCCATCTCAATAACAATGCATGTCTGTGAATTTTAAAAAGATGGCTCAAGTCTATCATTTCACATAAGGTTCATTGGCGCACAAAGTGACTCGTGTGCGACCACTTCGAACTGGATTTGATAGGTTTGACCATTTTTTTAGAATATACAGACTGTGTTGTTTCATGTGACTGTTGATTATTCAAAAGCCAAGCTATTGACCTCCCCCCCATGCTAGGCAGGGGATGGCGGTAGCTTAGTTTTTGGGTAGTTAACTGTCACGCATTTTATTACCATATGTACATATGCATCAAGACGTCTCATACCGTACATTATGCATCTTATAGCATCATTTATGCATTAAGCATGCATCTATTCATCATTATCATAATAGCATCTAATAGTAAAACATGGACGTATTATATTAAAAATTATGCATCTTATAGCATCATTTATGCATCAAGTGTGCATCTGTTTATCATTACCACAATAGAACAGTAAAACATGCAACCAGTACAGCAAATCTGCACTAACAACTGCAAAAATATCACATGATTTAATGCACTGTAAACAGTACCAAACTGCTAAACATGCATACAGTATGTGAAGAGTATTACTGTAGCTTACGAATTTTAATTTTCCTGATTTTCATAAATTAATTAATCATGAAAATAAAATTTGGCAAAATCGATCGTAAAGGGTTGCTTCGCAACCCAAAAAAAAAACAAACAAAACGGAAATTCCAGAGGGGGGAAGGGAGGATGGAAGGACCGGGAATGCACCTGATAACCACGGCGCCTGAGAAAACAGCCCGCGCTCGCGCACCGACCCGCGCTCGCGCACCAACCCGCGCTTGCGCTCCAACCCGCGCTTGCGCTCGTGCACCTGTCGTCGGAGGCGACGGCGGAGAGGGAAGGAGAGGCAACGGCGGGGAGTGGGGAGAGGCGACCGCGGGGAGTGGGGAGAGGCGACCGCGGGGAGTGGGGAGAGGAGACCGCGGGGAGGACGGAGAGGCGACGGCGAGGAGGAGGGATAGGCGACGGCGGGGAGGAGGGATAGGCGACGGCGGGGAGGAGGGATAGGCGACGGCGGGGAGGAGGGATAGGCGACGGCGGGGAGGAGGGAGGGGCGATGGCGGAGAGGAGGGAGGGGCGATGGCGGGAGGAGGGAGAGGCGGCGGCGGGATGGGAGGGAGCAGCGACGGTGGCTAGGAGGGAGAGAGACGCGACGGCGGGGTGAGAGGGAGAGGCGACGGAAAGGTATAAGGGATAGCTAGACGGTAGGTAAGGTGCGACTGCAAGATTGGGTGGGAATGGGCGGATCTGGAGGGAGAAGCAAGAAGCAAGAACCAAGAAGCAAGAACCAAGAAGCAAGAAGCAAGAAGCAAGAACCAAGAAACAACGAACAAGAACCAAGAGACGGGAGTCGAATTCGAGCAGACAGGTGTGAAAGGAAAAAAGTACACTTCTTCTCATTACAAGAGTAAACAAGGTTTTGAGCCGATTTGCTTGTCAATTTGCTAAGGTGACTGTATCGTTAACTGTCACTCTGGCTTTATGATGTTCTTGAAATAAGACTTTAGCCATAAAACCACTCAAAATTCCGAGATCAATTGCAATGATTTCGTTCGTAACCTGGTTGGGCTCGCAGAACATGAACTCATTTTTTCGCGAATGTACTCAATATGAGATTTTACAAATCAAGACAGTGCCACGTGGTTCAGTGCGCTCCGAAAATCCTCCACGCAATTTTGCACTCGATTGCTGACGATGCAGAAACAAGCAGGCAGAAACAGGAAGAGACAAAAACAAAGCACAAAGCACATACCAACTATATTGTAAGTGCAATACAGTAAGTTGGATGTAAAAAATATTGTCTATCATAAACACAAAAGACATTGAATGTCTCTCTTAATACACGGAAGAATCACTGAGTGAGAAAATCTAAATATATGCTATAATGTTTTAAAGAGGAAATATGAATCTTAACCCATTGTAACCAAATAAAAATGAGCATTATAATTTGATTTACATCAATAAATTTTAATATTCTCCATCATAATGTTTCTTATACGAGGATACAGCTCTACGCAACCCATCCGACGTAAACGTCGAATCTTGTTTTTTATTTTTTCTTACTCTTTCCAAAAACAGCGTACGAGATCCTAAACCTTGTGTAGACAGGGTAGTTATAGAGTTACTCCGAAACCGATACTGTTTAGCAAGAATCTCGTCTGATTCACGATAGTTTACTTGCACAGCACGGTCGTCATGCGCTCCATCGGTTCATATGTTTACGGTAAAAAAATTTCTCCGCTGCGAGAAATCGCCACTGCCATATTGGAAAGATATTTGCCACTAAAGCATGTAGATGTCAAGTTCAAACCCTACAAATTAGTATACTATAACTAGTACCTTTTAGAACAATGCATTTTTATTTTTACACTGATACTATAAGGCTACCAAAAAATAATCTAACAAAGTTACCCTAAGCAGTAGGGGTAGGCCAGGCTCCAACCTTGATTAACCAGGGTGGACCTGGACTAATTTTGGGCCCTGAGCCGTAGGGTCGGGATCGCATATTACCAACCTAAGTGTCTGGTTTGGGTGCGACAGATGTGATGATAGGAATAGGAGTCAAGACAATGTTTGATGTAATGGTAGGAACAGTATCGTATATGGTAGAGAGAGTGACGGGAGGTAAGGGAAATCAGCTCCTTACACTATCCCCCTCCGAAAGAAGGCCCTTACGAACTGCGTAAATCGCTCACCGCGGGAAGGTCGTCAGCCCTACAAACATCGTCAGCCCCCCGAAGATTATTGGCCCTGCGAAGGCTGTTGACCCTGTGTAGTTGATTTGGCCCTGAGAAGGTCGAGTGGGGTTTGAATGCTCAACACCTACATTCTCCGAATCTTTGTTTTGGCTTGAACGTTCACCTTCCTGACCCTGCTCACCCTCATCGCCC